TACTTGCATAGCTTTGCAGTGTGGGGACAATTCTTGAAGTTGTTGAAAATTGAAGTCGTTGATGGTTCCGGCAGTGTCAAGTGGAAGTTGGTTGAGAGTTCTCTTTCTCCAGGAGCACATGGCTGGTTTGGTCAAGGCCTGGGGCCCTGTTGAGGCCACGCCGAGCACCCAGGAGAAGTGAGGAAGTCGGAAGAGTGGGTGATTGGAGTCGTTGGGCCGAACTCCTGAGATTGTCCTTTGTTCTGGTTGAGAGAGAGTCTTCTCTCTCCTGCATGAGCACATGTAAGTTCAGGGCCTGCAGGCTGTGGTCAACATCACCTGTAGCCTCATTGCAAGTAGAAGTAGGAGAGATGCCATTAAAGATCAGGGGCTCAAATTGGCAATGTCAAACTGGACAAATCTGCAGGGACATGAAATGACACACTCTACAAAAAAGGTACTTGAAGAGTGTTGGGAGTAGGGTTGCCAACTGTCCCGAATTAGCCGGGGCGTCCCGATTATTGGGCCTAATTTATTTGTCCCGCGCGGGACCTCTCTTGTCCTGTTTATTGAGTGCTACGCTGATCTGACTGATACAACAGCAAAACGACACTTGAGAATGACCACGACACCGGTCATCATCCAATCACGAGCATCAGACCATACCAATAAACTATTAATTGAGAATTAATTATTCTTTTGGGACAAATAATTTAATTTGCGAACAGAATCTTCAGCTGTCTGGTCGCTCCCGGTTCGATCCGGCAAATCCCTTTCACTGTCCGGCAGGGTTTTGATTTCGGCGAGTCAGTTTTGGTGAATTGAAACAACGTGATTATTGTTCATGAGTGCAACATCCAGCCACGCAAGAAAACATAAAATCTACCCGAGGGAATATGCTGATGTGATTTGCTGCCCAGGAAACATGTCTGATTATTATTAATGTTTTTTTTTTTTTTTTTTATAAGTCAAGATTATTTGACGAATGGAAGGTTCAAATGAGATTTATCCAAAATAAAAAAGCTTTTGTAACATTATAAATGTCTTTATGTCACTTTTGATTCATTTAATGCGTCTTTGCTGAATAAAAGTAGGCTATTACTTTCTTTAATTTCAAAAATGTAGTGTATAATGCATTAATGCTATATTTCAGATAAATGCTATTATTTTGAACTATGTTTTGTGTGTGATTAATGTGACTTTTTTGCGTGACCTTAAAATTCGTTTTAGAATTAAATTGTAGGCTACAAAAAAAGTAAACAAAACAAATATGTTTATGTCTGAGAACCTTTTAAACACATACGAACCTGAAATGACATCATAGCCTCCTGTGTGATACAGTACAAATATTTTCAGTGTCCCTTATTTTCCTGTAAAGAACCACGATTGTCCCGCATTTTTCTTTTCGGAAGTTGGCAACCCTAGTTGGGAGTATGGCCGTACTAACATAGCTTTGGATGGAATGGGGGAAAAGAGGCAAAAGAGATGGGAATAAACAATATTGCATGATGCAAAACAATAAGTAAGACTGCCGTCCACCCATGGTTCTTCTGCTTTCTTATAGTAAATATGAAACAAAAAACATTGTAAAATCTAGAGGCATATATCAAAATATCCAACAGTAGAAACCAGGTATGATGTCGTCACTCAATACAGATATACACAGATGGATCCAGATCCAATAACTGGCAAGACGGGTGCAACTTTATTCATCGCAAAATACAACATTAACATCCAAAAAATAACTTCAGGTCACCTCTCAGTCTTCTCAGTTAAAATAATGGCCATTATTTTAGCATTGCAATGGGTCAGAGGAAGTTAAACCGCATATGATAGTAATCTGCTCAGATTCCATGTCCTCGTTATCAAGTATTCAGAGTGGAAAATCTGTATGTAAGCATTCATTTTTAGATTAACTCAACAAAAAATGTATGTACAGTTTACTAGATTCCAGTGCATGTGGGTATTGAGGGAAATGAAAAGGTGGATACATTAGCAAAAGAAGCCCTGAAAGCAGAGAACATAATTATACAAGTTCCACTTAGCAAATTAGAAATTAAGGTTATTATTAAAGATACTATAAATAAAAAGTGTCAGGATACATGGGATCAAAGAGAAAGGAAAACATTTATAAAGCATCCAGAAAGAAGTGATGGTTAAAAAGAACAGCTATAAGAAGACAGGAGGAAACTATGCTTACAAGGTTGAGAATAGAACAAGATTAAACAGCTGCCGAAAGTTAATAGAAAAACACCGGACTGGATTATGCATTTATTGTGGAGAAGTGGGGAATGTAAAACATATACTCTTGATGTGTAGAAAGTACTCTGAAAAAAGGAAAGAACTAGAGAAGGCAACGGAAAATGGATTGAGTTTAAAAAACCTATTGAGTTTGCCTGGCACGCAATCTATAATTAAGGATGTTATGATCTTTATGAAAGAAACTGAGCTTGCAGATTGGATTTAGGTTTTATTATATTATTTTATTTTATTTTATTTTATTTTATTTTATTTTATTTTATTTTTATGTATTTATTTTTTGTTTAGTAACATAATAAAATGACATCCCAGTGAGTTGTACCTCAATCCAGAAGATGGCGGTAATGCACTTTGTTTGCAAACTGCCAATAAAAAAAACACAGATGAAGAAGAAGAAGAAGAAGAAGAAGAAGAAGAAGAAGAAGAAGAAGAAGTTCCTCAGTGGGAAGTTTTGTTTTGAAAATCAGTAATAAAAGAGAAAGTGATTAAAAAGTGGCAACAATATTGGGATAATGAGAGTAAAGGGAGACATTTATATGCAATACAAAAGAAAGTGGGAGAAGGGAGGAAAAAAGGGAGAAATAGAAGGGAGGAAAGTATAATTACAAGACTAAGAGTGGGACATACAGGTTTGAATAAAACATTACATTTAATATCTAAGCATCCAACAGGATTATGTGATAAATGCGGACAGAGTGAATCTGTGGAACATGTGATTATTAATTGTAAGGGTTATGAAGAAGAAAGAGAAGTGCTAAGAGAAGAAGTATGGAAAAATGAAGGGAAAGAGTTAACATTAAAGAATATATTAGACTCAAATGTAGGAAATAGTACAGTCAATGTGTTGTTTCAGTTTCTGAACAATACAGGTTTAATGAAAAGAGTGTAGGATTAATAAGTATAGGCTTGTAGAGAGATGTGTATGAAGTAAAGTGTGGGACAAGGAAAAGTTAATCCGAAGGTTAAGTAAGGTTTGGTGAGAAGTGGGAGTTAAAGGGAGGTGGGGTGGAAACTGGAGGAGCTGAACACGCAGCGTCAGTGGGTTAAATTTTTTTTTTTTTTTTTTTTTTCTCTTTAGGGGTGGGGAGGGGTAGAAATGTTAAGAAAGAGGAGGTGTTTCTGATCCAAGCTACCTGATGATGGCAGTAATGCACTGTAAAGTGCGGTTGCCAATAAAACAAAAAAGAAGAAGAAGAAGAAGAAGAAGTTTTGTTTTGCCCTGGTGAACATCTCTGAGCGTTTCTTCCAGTGGTTTTGTCTTCCCGTGGATTACTCTTGGACTGTTTATTCTCTTCGTGATTGTTTGCTGTCTGTCCTGGACTGTTTTCTACTGTGGACTGATTTATGTAAGTTTGCTGCCTGACTTTATGCCTGTGTTCAGATTACGAGTTTCTTTGTCTCTATGTTGTGTTTGCTGGATAATGACCCTGATATTACGACCAAGATTACAATAAAGCTGCAAATGGAAGCCTCGTTACAATTAAGTGAAGTTTTGAGTTTATATTATAGAAGTGCCATTATTATGTATGGTGTATGCGTTTTTCTGCCAACAGTTTGATGTATTTTTGGACTTTAATTAACGCGCGATTAAAAAAAAATCTCCACATATCATTTTGGTGGATTGAGTCTGTGGAAATATCGTTTAAATGGGTTTAGTTTTTATTTTGATGTTAATGTATGTTTTTATCCGTGACCTGTGTATTGGATGAATTTATTGTTAGGGAGGACAGTAATTAATGTCTTTTCTCATGCATCCTTCAGCAGAAAGACAGTGAATCTGAAGGTGTGTGTGTTTATTGTCTCTAGGGCTGCACGATATTGGGAAAAATTGGAATTGCGTTATTTTATTTTTCTGCGATATGAAAACAATTTCACTAGATGACTTGAATAGCTCTATTTGGAAAGAACTGTGTTCATTGTCTGTCCTCTGTCAATAAACTGCAGATGTGATTCATTTGTGTTGCTGGGTGAAATCTGCTATATATTTAAAGACATTTTTTTTTTTACTAAATTCACTGGTGTGTAATTTTGATTTATATGAAAGTTTAAAGACAAAACATTTAGCCTATTGTCTGAATAACCAGATTCTCTTGTTTAATTCTATAGTTACCTTCTACACAAAACATTATTTTAAACGTTAAAGGAACACTCTGACTTTTTGGGACTTTAGCCTATTCACCTTATCCCCCAGAGTTAGATAAGTCCATACATACCTTTTTCATGTCCGTGCGTGCTGTAACTCTATCTGACGCACCCACCGCTAGCCTAGCTTAGCACAAAGACTGGATGTAAATGGTTGCAGCTAGCATACTAATCCAAATAAGTGACAAAATAGCGCAAACATTTTCCTATTTACATGTTGGGATTTGTATAGTCAGTCCCAAAAGTCGGAGTGTTCCTTTAAAAAAATTATGGCTGATTTTATGAACTTTTGCTGTAAAATAAGCAAATAATCTAGGAATATAAATACACTTATTATATCATAATCGTGTACAGCAGTTGTCGTTCACATATTGACTATTAACAAGAGGATGACAAAACTAACCGTTTAGTACATCAAAAATATTATATAAGCATATTATTTGATAAGCAGATCTCACTTGTTTTCTGTTATTAAATCAGGGTTTGCTTGAAAATTCACATTTATCCTCCTTGAACTCATTCTAACAACTTAATGTTTTAATATGTTTCAGACCCGATGGAAGTGAAATTTCACAAGCCTCTTGACACCAATAAATGTGTGGCTGTTAAATATTGAGTTTATTAAAGAGGAGATTGAAGACATGAGTGATCCAGAACTATCCAGAATAAAACATGAAGATACTGAGGAACAAACAGGTTGGTGTCCATTCTTGATTCTTCATTGTTGACGCTTTGGTAGATGTGAATTATTAAGCAGTATATGGATTATAAATGATGTAGAAATGCATCTGAATGATCATAACCTTGTATATAGCAGTTGTCAAACATATTTTGACTATATTAACAAGTGAATGACAGAACAAAGAGTGAAAGATCTGATCTCTGTTCCTTTCTGCTATTAAATAAGGGTTCACTTGAACTGATTCTAACTGTATTTCTGTGTATTTTAGACCAGGTGAGAGTGAAACAGCAAAGACAAAAACTGAATGAAGTGGAGGAGGAACATCGTAACTTTACAATTCAAAGAACAAAAGCCAAAAAGACGCACACCTGCACTCAGTGTGGAAAGAGTTTCACACAGAAAAGAAACCTTAACACACACATGAGGATTCACACTGGAGAGAAACCGTATACATGCACTCAGTGTGGAGAGAGTTTCTCACAGAAAGGAAACCTTAAAATACACATGAGAATTCACACTGGAGAGAAACCGTATACATGCACTCAGTGTGGAAAGAGTTATTCTCAAGCATCAGCTCTCAGTTATCATCTGCGCATTCACTCTGGAGAAAAACCATTTAACTGTGATCAGTGTGGTAAAGATTTTATTTCAACAGCAAATCTAAAATCACACCTGAAAGTTCATTCAGATGAGAAGCCTTATGTGTGTTCTCTCTGTGGAAAGAGTTTTTCATGGCTGGACTGTTTTAAACTGCACCAGAAAACACACAATGAAGTGAGAGATCATGTGTGCTTTGACTGTGGGAAGAGCTTTACTACATCTGTGAATCTGAAACAGCACCAAAGAATTCATACTGGAGAAAAACCTTACAAGTGCTCATATTGTGACAAGAGTTTCAATCATTCTGGAAACCTGAAATCACACGAGCGACTTCACACTGGAGAGAAACCGTATACATGCACTCAGTGTGGAAAGAGTTTTACTCAAGCATCATCTCTCAGTTATCATCTGCTCCGTCACTCTGGAGAAAAAACATTTAACTGTGATCAGTGTGGAAAAATATGTATTTCATCATCAAATCTAAAAGATCACCTAAAAGTTCATTCAGGTGAGAAGCCTTATGTGTGTTCTCTCTGTGGAAAGAGTTTTTCATGGCTGAAAAGTTTTAAACTCTGCCAGAAAACACATAATGAAGTGAGAGATTATATGTGCTTTGACTGTGGGAAGAGCTTTATTAGAGCTGAGAATCTGAAACGGCACCAAAGAATTCATACTGAAAAAAAAAAAACCTTACAAGTGCTCATATTGTGACAAGAGTTTCGCTCGTTCTGGATCTCTGAAATCACACGAGCGAGTTCATACTGGAGAGAAGCCGTACGACTGTACTCAGTGTGAGAAGAGTTTCACCCAATCAAGTCATCTAGTGACTCATATTAGAAAGCATTGTTCTGTGTCACAGTGAGCAAATGTTTTGTTAGATGCACATAAAGTGTGTAGTAAGCTAGCTAAAATTGTAGTGTTACAAATTTATTAAATGTTTAATTTAGGTTTCCACTACAATAGTATATAAACTGATACAGTTTAGTAGACTGATTTCAGATGATTATTGAGTCTCCAGCAAGAGTCTCCTTTCCTGCCAGTCCTGTTTTTTGTGTATTGGTCAGATTACTGAAACTTTTAATGGCTCTTGAAGCTCCTGTCTCAGCAAGAGAGTTTCTGCCCGTCCAGTTCTCCTGACTCAGGTTGAATGGTTATGTTGACTGGATTAGGATTGGTAACACTTTCAGTCTAGAGCAGGGGCCTGTACCATGATGGTAGTTGAACAAACTCGGGGTTACAGGATTGGTTTTGAGTCGACAAAACCAAACCGATGCAATCAGGCTTTATTGGTACCATGACGCAGCTCACCAACTTTCTCTGTCAACTCAGGCTTTGATCCTTAAGCTATGATTACTCCACGCGCGCGTGCACATAAAAGAGTGACGTCGACACTGAACAACCAATCGTGTTCGATATGGATAGAGCGAGAGCTATATATTTTTCCGCGCAGGAGCAAGAGATTATTATTCAGAAATATGAAGAATATAGGAGTGTTTTTCAAGCACGCAGTAACACTGTATCTGCTGCCAAAGCAAGAGAACAATCTTGGAGGAAGATTGCTGATTGCGTTAATGCGTAGGCTAAGTTAAACAATATAAATTTATGTAGGATAATCATATTAAAAATGTATTAAATGCTAAAAATTAAAATGTGTATTCGTGCTGATATATACATGCATACATAAGTGTGTGTGTGTGTGTGTGTAGATGTATGTATAGGCTATTACATCCTAAGAAAGATTGATATTCTTTGATTTTTAGATGCAACCCCAACTTCAAATGTTCTTGGCAGCAGATCAAAACAAAATATAAAAATATAATTAAAAGTGGTGAGTATTTACCAAAACCTTTTATTACTTTTGTGAACATTTAATCACAAACACTTGTTTGCAGCAAACAGAAAAAAGTGTGACATGAGGAAAACTGGGGGAGGGCCCCCTCCTCCAGAATACACTGTGGCGGAGGAGTTGGCACTGAGTAACAACAAGGGGCGGCCGATTATGGATGGGATTGCAAGTGCTGTACAGTCTGACCCTGGTGCTGGCTCCTCTAAGCAAGTGACACTGGGTATGTGTGTGCAATGCATTACTAATGTTTAAAAAAAAAAAAAAAGTGAAATATGGCTGACTCTGTTCTGCACAGTAGAGGGAAATACAGTGTCCCTGTTGAAGCCAGCACACATGCACACAGTCTCCCACACAGAGGTCAGTATTCAGCAGACAGAACACTATGAACATAACCTGCTTTATAACAGTTATGATTTAAATTGGCCTTCAATTTATAGGGTGAACCAAATGATGAAGACACTCTGTCTGTGTGTTCTGAGACAGTTGCTGAGGTGAATGCACTGGGATTTTTATTATAGCACACATTTGAATGTCATAATTAAATGACTGGCTCTTACACATCTCTTTTATTGTAGGATTTTTCACAACCTGCCCCAGAAACTGAAGCCTCTACCTCAATGGGCTTCAGAAGGAATGTGAACAAGGTAATGCTTTAAACCCTTAATTACAGTCAGTCCTATGTTTGTAGAAAGTCATGTCACTTTTTGTGATTTGATCAACCTCCAGAAAACGTGTAAGGATTGTTTGTGGTGGAATTGTTTCAGGTGGAAACAGACTCAGTCAGGGCCCTTTACAAAAGGAGTCTAGAACTAGACTGTTCACTGAAGGAGCTGGACTGTGAGCTGAGGATGCTCCAAATTAAAAAAATTAAATTGGAGATCAAACAGCTGGAAAAAACAGATCTCAGAATGTGAACTTTTTTTTTTTACCAAGTTACCCTGTATGAACACTATGAATGTTTATTAATGTAATTTTTCTTTCTCTCTTTCCTCCCTAGCCACATGACCAATAAAACAGTTTGAGACCTATCAGCAGTGTCAGTGTGCTTTTATTAAAGGGATAGTTCGGCCAAAAATGATATTTAACCCATGCATTACTCACCCTCAAGCCGTTCGAGATGCATATGTCAATCTTGTTTCAGACGAACACATTTTCAGTTATTTTAGAAAATGTCTTAGACCCTTCAGTGGATATAAACGAACGCTCCAGGGGGATAAACGAAGGCCTTCTGAGGGTAATCCGTGCGGTTTTGTCATAAAAATATACATATTTAAAACTTTATAAATGAAAATATCTGACTTCCGGCAACGATCGACGCGCGTTCACGGATGGAAGTCGGCGTACGAGGTATGACGTAGCGTAGGAACCGTCGTGACGTCGAACGAAGGCGCCAGCGCAGCCAGAGAGCAGAGCAAAACAAAACTCCACTCAGTTCACCCGTGAACGCACCCCCCCCCCCCCCCCCATTCTATATGTTCTGTCCCGGCCCTGTATTGAGGGAAATGAAAAGGTGGATACATTAGCAAAGGAAGCCCTGAAAGCAGAGAACATAATTATACAAGTTCCACTTAGCAAATTAGAAATTAAAGTTATTATTAAAGATAGGCCTACTATAAATAAAAAGTGTCAGGATACATGGGATCAAAGAGAAAGGAAAACATTTATAAAGCATCCAGAAAGAAGTGATGGTTAAAAAGAACAGCTATAAGAATGTTATGATCTTTATGAAAGAAACTCAGCTTACAGATTGGATTTAGGTTTTATTATATTATTTAATTTAATTTTTTATTTTATTTTATTTTATGTATTTATTTTTTGTTTAGTAACATAACAAAATTACATCCCAGTGAGTTGTACCTCAATCCAGAAGATGGCGGTAATGCACTTTGTTAGCAAACTGCCAATAAAAAAAATACACAAGTAAGAAGAAGAAGAAGAAGAAGAAGAAGAAGAGGAGCCTCAGTGGGAAGTTTTGTTTTGCCCTGGTGAACATCTCTGAGCGTTTCTTCCTGTGGTTTTGTCTTCCCGTGGATTACTCTTGGACTGTTTATTCTCTTCGTGATTGTTTGCTGTCTGTCCTGGACTGTTTTCTACTGTGGACTGATTTATGTAAGTTTGCTTTCTGCCCTAAACCTTTTGCCTGTTTTTGGATTACGAGTTGCTTTTTCTAGTTGCTAAGTACTGGTCTTTTATACCGTAAGTATTGGACGCGATTGGATAGATGAGAAGGTAATTAGTGACGCAACAATTGAGTCTTCCTGGCAGAACTTAACGCTAAAGCTTCCATTTCACGAGTTATTGAACGCAGAAGTCCGCGAATGTGCGAATATAAGACCAACTTTACCTAAGTGTGTGTTTATTGTCTCTAGGGCTGCACGATATTGGGAGAAAAAAAATTGCATTGCGTTATTTTATTTTTCTGCGATATGTAAACAATTTCACCAGATGACTTGAATAGCTCTATTTGGAAAGAACTGTTCATTTTCTGTCCTCTGTCAATAAACTGCAGATGTGATTCATTTGTGTTGCTGGGTGAAATCTGCTATATATTTAAAGACATTTTTTTTTTACTAAATTCACTGGTGTGAAATTTTGATTTGTATGAAAGTTTAAAGACAAAACATTTAGCCTTGTCTGAATAACCATATTCTCTTGTTTAATTCTATAGTTACCTTCTACACAAAACATTATTTTAAACGTTAAAAAAAATCATGGCTGATTTTATTAGCTTTTGCTGTAAAATATGCAAATAATCTAGGAATATAAATACACTTATATCATAATCTTGTACAGCAGTTGTCGTTCACATTTTGACTATTAACAAGAGGATGACAAAACTAACCTTGAGTACATCAAAAATATGATATTTGATAAGCAGATCTCACTTGTTTTCTGTTATTAAATCAGGGTTTGCTTGAAAATTCACATTTATCCTCCTTGAACTCATTCTAACAACTTAATGTTTTGATATGTTTCAGACCCGATGGAAGTGAAATTTCACATAAGCCTCTTGACACCAATAAAACGATTTAATGTGCCAATCTACAGAAGATCTCAGACATCACCATAATGAATGAGCTGAAAACAGGGAACTTTTGGAGACAAAGAGGTTTTTCAGCTGCTCAGTTTAACATGATGGCCCTGTACTTTTTAAATGCAGATTGGATAAAAACACAGTGATCACAGTTCACACCTGCAGTGAAGCCCCTCCCACAACAATTCACCAATAAATACTGGGAATATTCCCATCATCCTACAAGAGAAGCACAAACTCCAGGAGTAGCAGCTGAAATCTGTGTGACTGTTAAAGATGGAGTTTATTAAAGAGGAGATTGAAGACATGAGAGATCCAGAGCCATCCAGAATAAAACATGAAGATACTGAGGAACAAATAGGTTGGTGTCCATTCTTGATTCTTCATTGTTGATGCTTTGGTAGATGTGAATTAATAAGCAGTATATTATGGACGATAAATGATGGAGAAATGCATCTGAATGATCATAACCTTGTATATAGCAGTTGTCAAACATATTTTTACTATATTAACAAGTGAATGACAGAACAAAGAGTAAAAGATCTGATCTCTGTTGCTCTCTGCTATTAAATAAGGGTTCACTTGAACTGATTCTAACTGTATTTCTGTGTATTTTAGATCAGGTGAGAGTGAAAGAGCAAAGACAAGAACTGAATGAAGTGGAGGAGGAACATCGTAACTTTACAATTCAAAGAACAAAAGCCAAAAAGACACACACCTGCACTCAGTGTGGAAAGAGTTTCTCACAGAAAGGAAACCTTAACACACACATGAGAATTCACACTGGAGAGAAACCGTATACATGCACTCAGTGTGGAAAGAGTTTTACTCAAGCATCAGGTCTCAGTCATCATCTGCTCATTCACTCTGGAGAAAAACCATTTAACTGTGATCAGTGTGGTAAAGATTGTATTTCATCATCACATCT